CTACCACCCTGGCCCAGGTTGCCCAGAGAAGTGGTGGATGCCCCATCCCTGGAAACATCCCAGGTCAGGCTGGACGGGGCTCTAAGCAACCTGCTCGATTTGGGGATGTCCCTGCTCATGGCAGGGGGTTGGACTAGATGGCCCTGAAAGGTCCCTTCCCACCCAAACTATTCTATGATTCGATGAAGAACATCTAGGCCAGACTTCCCTCATAGCTGATCTCATAGGATTGGAACCAGAAGATCCTCAGGAGCCTGGGCATGGTGGAAGTGGTGAGTACAAGGTCAACGGCAGCTAGCATGGAGAGGAAGTAAAACTTGGGCAGGTGCAGGTTTGGGTCCATTCTAATTGTTACTTCCCACCCAAACTATTCTATGATTCGATGAAGAACATCTAGGCCAGACTTCCCTCATAGCTGATCTCATAGGATTGGAACCAGAAGATCCTCAGGAGCCTGGGCATGGTGGAAGTGGTGAGTACAAGGTCAACGGCAGCTAGCATGGAGAGGAAGTAAAACTTGGGCAGGTGCAGGTTTGGGTCCATTCTAATTGTTAGGAGGGGAGCATGATGTTTCCCACCACTGCCATGAAGTACATGGTGCAGAATGGGAAAGCAATCCAGAACTGAGCATCCTCTGGCCCAGGGATGCCTGTCAGGATGAAGGACAAGGAACTGGAGTGTTTCGGGTAGGACATGAGGCACTGCTGCAGAGCTGGAAGGGAAGACACAGAAAGAGCTGGCATAGACAGGGAGAGGAATGAGCCGTAGCAAGCAGTGCTGTGGACTCCATCCACAGGCAGCACACCCTGGCCTGTCTTCCCAGGCACACAGGCCTGTGCTCATGCCCTCCTGCCTCTTGTCCAGCCACACTCAGTCCTGCCACTGGCGAGACGCAAACACACATAGTCTTAGCCTGAACTCATGGGAGTTATCTTGCCTCCCCTCCTATCCCAGGCTGGCCTCTGGCTGTTGTCCCCACCCCTCCCCTTCATAGTTTGGGAATTACAAGCTAGAAGTTGAGTACATTTGGTTGCCGTCAGTACGAAAATCTACGATGGAAGAAAGGAGAAGATCCAGAATACTTTGAGGATGCGGCTCAGCAGGGCTCTGGTCACCCACACGCATCTGCAGGTGCAAACCACGTCTTCTTCTGGGCTGGCGTGCCCCATCGGGTTCCCACCTCAGGAGATGGCAGCAGATGTGCGTTTGCAACACCAGCGTTTGTTGCCCCGAGTGTTTTTGCGCTGGGAGCTGGTGCCCGTGGAAGCAGCACAGTGAACCCGCACATCCCCCAGCTGCGTGCCCCGCTTCAGGCAGCACTGTCAGTGTGGGGCTGTTCCTGCTAGAGCCCAAACCCACCCCTTGCTGCAGTCCCTCTCTGAAAGGGCATCCCGCCTCCAGGGTCCCTGCCTCCTGCGTTAGGAAGGGTAAATCAGTGTCGCGACCAAAACTGCGCTGAGGCTGCAGTGCCGGTCCCTCCCGCGGCGCGTGTAGCTCCTTAGCCTCCAGCCCTTGCCAGAAGAAAGCAGTGCCGTGAATCGTCCCTGTTTCACCAGGAAAACAGAGGCACAGAAGGGTTAAATTCGCCAGCTGGCAGTATGGGAATTAGACGCAAGTTTCTCAGGCACTTGTACTCTCTGTTTTCCCCAACATACCGAAGGGCCAGACTTCATCTCCTTGGCTTTCCAGACATTTGACTTCCTTGACCCCTAAATAGTTTCACGTCTCCTCCAAGCTGCTTCGAGTTCCCCACATGACACAAACCCGCAGGCATTCCAGTCTGTTTCGAGTCATTGCTATTTGCAAAGTAAGGCCAAATGCTGCAAAGCCAATATTGTGAAAACGCTGCCGAGGCGATGTTACTTTCAATAGTCCGTCGCAGAGAGGACTCTGTTTGCAGCGCAGTCAACTACCTATAAATTCAGGGAGGCAGAGCCACAGATGGCACGAGCCAGTCCAGCAGGAAACGTGTCTCGCGCCAGAATTATTTATCTGGAAAAGGCAAACACATCTGAGATGCTGTAATCCTGTGCTTGGCAAAACGCAGGTACTGCTTCGCCCCTCTCTGTCGGAGGTAATCGATCTACGGATGCCGTGTGCCGTTCTGGGCAGTGTTACCTGTACTTCATCTCGTGTAATAAAGCTATCCAGATTATTAAATAACGTTATTCAACAAGCGCCAGACTCAACTTTTACTGGGTCCTTTTCACGTACGCTCACGGTGCCGTGCCGGTTCTGTCCCCTTCGCAGGGTCTCATTTCTTGGGCACACACGGGCATGTGAAATACCAAGGAAGCAACGTTTTTACAACAACCCCGGGCCGTCTGGCTCCCGCAGAGACGCCGTCCCGACCGCACTGCAGTTTCACCCGCGTTACTCCTGACCTCCTCTACATTTCACGCGCCCTCCCCGACGTGTCCCGCAGCCGCGGT